AGTTATTTGATCCCATGGAGTGGGGTTATACAGTCATCAATGCTATCAGCTCCCCCTCCCCCCTCCCTGTACCCTTGGGGATCCATTACTCCTGTTATTGTTTCTTTTATTATGATTAAATAATATTTTATTGACATATCTTACTCGTTCCAATATATCCCTCCCCTGCCCACACAGTTCTGTTGTTCAATCCCATTGAGTGGGGCTGTACCAGCAGTACTCAACCTGTCGGTCTCAACCCTTTGGAGGTCGAATGACCCTTTCACAGGGATTGCCTGATTCATAACAGTAGCAAAAGTGAAGTTATGAAGTAGCAATGAAAATAATTTTATGGTTGCGGGGTCACCACAACATGAGGAACTGTATTAAAGGGCGGCGGCATTAGGAAGGTTTGGGCTATACAATCATCTAGGAGGGCTATCAACTCCCCCTCCCCCTCCCATCCCCTTTTCTCCCTGTCTCTCACTTCCCTCAACCTCAGGGAACCCTTACTCCTGCCAGTGTTTCTCAGGGGTCTATCTTGACTATCATGTAGCGAGCAATCTTAAATGTACAAAGGAACATACACAAATCTAACATGACCCTTCTAAGAGGGACTGAAGCAGGAAAAAATTTAAAAACCTAAAAATCCGAGCAAGCCAGAAATCTTAAACCATTCTCATAATTTTAAAATGAGAAAATGCAGAGTGTCTGACATATGTCCTCAATTGATGACAGTTATTCAAGGTCAAACAATGAATCAGTGGCGGAGTCAGTTGCAGAGTCTAGTTCAACTGCGACCAAATTTAACATCCTCTTTTCTTGATCAGCAGAAAGATGAGGCTTTCTACTCCTCTAAAGATTTACACTCTCAGAAACCCTAGTTGGGGGGCGGTGTGCAGTTCTACTCTGTCCTATAGGGTCATTATGAGTCAGAATTGACTTGATGGCAGTGAGTTTGTTTAGTTTTTGACATCCCTTTGATGTCAAAAATGTTTCATTTTAACATCAGTGCTTCTTCAACTCTTAAACAAGTTTTTCTCACTGATATTTCCTTCAAGGGCTAAGAATAATGCAAACTCAGTACTGCTAAGATTACTGTGCGTTCTTTGATAATGTCTTATCTCTGTAAGTACAACAAAATGGCCCAAGTCAAATCAGATTTGGCAGGTTTTAAAAATAATATTTCGAAGTCAAACAATAGCCAAAGTTCTAGCAAAAATCAGCTAGGTCGAACACTGATACCTAAAAGAGATTCCAAAGCTATAATGTATCCCAAAAGCTCTAGAAACTAATGAACATGCATCATATCGAATATCACTCTCTAAAACAACTTGACATACTCAAGACATGACCTGGCTGTGTGTTTTCCTAAACCGAGTCTTATTATTGTCATCAATCCAATTTTGATCCCGCTGGATTGTTTTTTACCCAAAGTGGAATTGTCACTTAAGTATGAAATAATTCTAAACACACATACTCAAGTAGTCATGTAATGGCACATGTTTATTTTCAAATTCTATTTGATACTATCTATTTTTGGAAACTATACATACCAAAGACCCAACACAAAGAAAAACAAAACCTGTTTGACATTATACATTCACCTAACATCTAAGTCCTACATGATGCTAGAGAATACTCAGTATCAAACTGTGCTAAGATTATGATGTCAGTATATTTCTTGGAAAGCCAAGTAAAAATAATCCCTAAAATAGGATTTGCAATAATCAGAAGTGGACTTTCTTCTCTCTTCAGTTGTACTGAAAAGAATCACTTTGGGGCTCAAGTCCATGGCGAAGCTAACCCTTTTCTTTTCAGGGACTGTCATATTGTTTGCCTGGGCATAAAATTTACTTTGGTTTATAAGAGTGCCTTGGGTCCCCAAATCCTGCCGATATAAATTTTCCAGGTCAAGTCTAATATGCATGGTACTGTTGGTGGAAAAGACTAACAATTTCACCCAAAACATAGAATTAATATTTCTGTCCAACATAGCATTTACCTCATATTTTTTTTAAAGCAAATGAGTCTAGATAATGACAGATTAGAGACCTTGGTGTTCAATGGTGATTGGGTGCATCTCAAGATAAAACACAAGTTCATTGGTTCTCCACTGTGATTTTACAGGTAAAGAAAGGCATTTGGAATTTGTTGGAGCTAATAGCAGACATTAAAAAAATAATACTCCCCTGCCAATTTTTAAAAGAACTTTGATTTTTAGATCATACCCCACCCACTCCAAAAAAAGTAATTCTTAAGGTCGATTTTACATGGGAAGGGTGGGGAGCATCCCCAAACAATTAAATTCTGTGGGCTGAGAGCCTTAGGGATAAGGTATCCAATTCTTTACAGAATCAGATGTCCTCATCTTTTTCCCGTGGAGTCACTTGTGGGTTCAAACAGGTGACCTTTAGGTTTGTAGCCAAGCACTCAAATACTACACCACCGGGTTGCTTCCATCGTAGTTAACTCCAGTTTAAACCCATTCCAAACTAATCTATGTCACAAATTGAGCCTTGGGGTCAGAAGCATGTTTTAAATATTTAAAGTTAGTGCTAGCTTTTTTGAGGCTCTGAAGCCAAGGCCCAGGAAAAAAAAGAAAGAAATGCATAAGTTATTCAGAGGTTGCAATAGTAGACAAAGGGTTTTTGACTGAAGCATGCATCCAAGGCCCAAATCTCTGAAATGTTCCAAGTTTCATTTTTATAGCTTCTGCCCTACTTGTTTTCCAGCCTGAATGTGTTATCAACTGGATCCATTTTTGAAAATAATTAAAGCTTTTAAACTCCCGGCCTCAGAGATTTCTCTGCCCATGTCTATACCCTGCAATATGTAATCTGCCCAGGAAAATTGCCATGTTTTTTTCCAGCAGCAACCTCAACTTGAGCCACATGGTGGATACGAGTCAATTAAGGAAAATTTCTTCATGTCTCTTATGATTCCACCAAACCAGCGACAGGCAAAGCCCACCAAAGCAAACCCACAAACCCACCAAACCAATGACAGCCAACCCCCCAAGCAGTCCATGCATTGAATTAAGTGCTGACTGTTTTTGTCTGTGGTTTCTGATTCGTGTAATTCCAAAGTACAATGAACTGATGGTTAAATTTAGTCAAAAGATTATCCACCCCTTCATGTCGATGCCTGGTATCTACAACCATCCAAGTTGAATATAGGCAAGGAATACGGAAGTCCCTTTTAAAGCATGATCTTATGGGATATGACTTCAAATCTAGCATTAGGGATGAACTAAGGATTGAGCAAAATGATGATTTTCCTAGAAAAGAATGAAGAAACTATCTTTAGATTTTCAAAGTCATTAACTGGATTGACAGGGAGCTAGGGCAAAAGCATGAGCACCTTCCAGCACAGTCATTCAAAGCTCTTGCTTTCTAACCAGTTGCTGTTTTTATTTTGGATAAAATCTGCATACCAAATTCTGTTCCCCTCAACCAAATCCCAGCATAATTCACCCCACCCGACTCCATTGCTTTCTCGGGGAGGTAATTAATGGAATACGGTTCTTCGCCATTACATTCGTTTTAAAGTCACAAGAAGTCATGTGGCCATCACGCTTGGGGCATCAGAGACTTGGAGCACGTGATGCCAACTGGCATGTGTGGAAGTGGGGTCACTAAGTTGGAAACGGAATATCCAGGATCCAATTCAGGATCTCAAACACATTGTGGCACCCAAGAAAGAAGAGGGCAGGCTCACCATCCCCGGACCCCTGGACTTCATCATTTCATCTACATTGTCTATCCACTGGGCGGCCAGCCAGGCTCCCCTCTCCACCTCCTCTCCTGCCTAACAGACCTGGTTCTCCCAGTCTCCTGTCTCATCCTAAAGGAAGGAGGCTCTCCAACCCACGTGCTCAACCATCTGCATACCTCTGGGGAGGTTGTGAAGAGCAGGTGGGGCGCCAGACTTATTGCCTATTGGAAGTGTAAAACAGCATTCATCCCATTCCATTCCTCAGTCTGGAACCTTCGAAAGTCTGGCGGGCCCGCCCACGCAGCAGCAGCAGCAGTAGCAGCAGCAACTTTACTACTAGCTAGAAGCCAGGGCCGGGGGTAATCGTCCCCTTGACCTCTCTTTAGAGCGTCAAAGTACTGCCCATGGCCAAAAGTCAACACCGGCCAGTTCAGCAGTGTGTTCCCTTTGCTTCTGCCCCTCAAGGTCCTCGGCGGCTGCCGCCAGACCGCGCACTCAGGGCTGAGTTGCCAACAGAGCCCAGAATGGAGCAGAGAGAGAGGCGGCGTGGGGTCTGGGGCGCCGGGCACTGACAGGTACTGTCCTTAATGGCCTGGGGGTGGTAGGCCACCGAAATAGAAAGGGGTGGTGGGTGGAGAGAGACAGAGAAAAAGTGCTTACTCATAGGGAGATGCGGTGCGCTCGCGATGCTCCCGCTAATGGGCAGGGAAGCCAGCCGAAGGCAGGCAGGCAAAGTGGAGCCTGGTTTCGTCCCGAGGCCTCGGCGCCCCGCCTGGAGCCCCGAGGCCAGTGGAAGCCCACGGGGTCAGCCAAGGCGGGCGGGCCGGGGCTGGAAGCGACGCCGGCGGCTGGCTCCCGGGTTTCCTGAGTCCGAGGTGGGGGCTGGAGGGGGGGGCAGGAATGCGGGAGGGAAAAGTTGGGCGCTCCGTCCCCACGGCTGGGCCCGCCACCGCGGAAGGGGAGAGAAGGGCCGGGGGCGGGGGCGTCAAGGCTTCTAGCCCAAGGTTGGCAACAAGTTCATATCAACTCGTGAGAGAGCCTTAAGGGGAGAGAATGGGTTCGCGGCGGGTGGAGGGCGCGGGCCAGGGGCTTGGTCTCTCCCACCCATCCTGGCTGCGAAGGATTACCTGGGCGCCCAGAGCCCAGTATAGAAAATTCTCCAACCCTCACCCCCCGCCAGCCTCCATCCGAGCAGAGCACGTCCCTCCTGAAGTTGGGGGAGATGCTCAGCTTGGGACCCTCCCGAGTGGAAGCCCCAGGAACGCGCTCCCGCGCGCGCCCGCCAGGAGCTACCCAGCACTTACGGAAAGTCTCGCCGAGTCCGGGTCCAGCCCGAGCGCCCCACTCCAACGGGCTCCGCCAACTTCTGCCCCTCGGAATCTTTGCGGCTGGCCTTCTAAAGCCAGTGCGCCCGCCCCCTGCCGGCCCCTCCGCGCCCTCGGCCGCTGCCATTGGCTCCGGTGCTGCGAGCAGTCGGCCTGGGAACCTGGAAGGCGATTGGGCCACGAGCCTGTCACATCAACTGGGTGGGGCCCTGAGAGACTTGGCTTGGGGTTGGGCGCCCTGGAGGGATGGGGATAGTAAATCTTAGGCCTGCAAAGGAGGCTGGTCCCTGCGCTCGTGTCCCCCCGCCCTGTCCCCAGATCAAAAGAGGTGAGAGGCTCAAGAGTCCGTGTTCAAAACTATCTTGTGGAAGAGATGAAGCGATGGGAATGGCGGGAACCCGAGTTTGAATGTCACCAAGCCTCTATTGGAGTCTCTGAGTGTATGCTTCCTCCCCGCCCGGAATCCAGGAGAGAAACAGCTTGGGAAGGGACATTGCTAGTTTCATTCCCTCCCATCAGCGCAGGGGCCCACCACCCAGAGGAGAAACCTCAAGACCCCTTTGCACCGTAAGAGGTCTAGGAATCGGAATACGATCAGAATAGGTACAGGGCGGGGCCACCAAGTACTTGGCTTTGAGCCAAGTGTATTGTTGACTAAAATAGAACTCTGGTATGTTTCCTCATCCACAAAGCGGTGAAAGGTGGGCTGGGAGAAGATGGTGGAAGTAACTTGCTTCCACGCGTTTGGCTGGGATGGAGTGTCCATTCTCAGGAGTCATCTTTCACCAGAAAAAACCCTTGGAGATATGCTCTTGCTCTCCACAGTACCACTTCTCTGCCCAAACGAGATTGTCTCCATGTCAAAGCTGACCTTTTTCATTAATATAAGAGCCTGGATGGCGTAGCCAACCTCTCTGCAGAAGACTTGAAGCTTTCCACTTCCGTAAAGAATGAACAGTCTTGGAGATTTACGGGCGGGGTGGGTGGGGTGGGGAGGTCAGTTCTATCCTGTCCTATAGGGTCACTATGAGTCGGCATCAACTCTGTGGCAGTGGCTTTGCTTTTGTTTTTCTTTTTGTTTTGGGTTTGGTAGCCTTATTTGCATTCCATCATTGGCAGATGCCAGAGCCAAAATCGGCTCAGAGGGCCAGAGTTTGAGGGAATTTCCAGCAAGAGATGAAGAGTGTGACTCATGGGACACCTGTAGAAAAAGTCGAAGTAACAATTTTGATCCGTAATGGCGTGGTTGGAAAGTTCTGTGAAAATTGGTTCACTCAAGATTCCTTTTCTATGCATCAAAAAAGCTCTAAGTGATAGAGGCCTTTGGACTGGAATAATCTTCTCAAGGAACCACCCACTTCATCTGCTATTATGAATGTACTTCGAAGTGAGCCTGTAGTGAGTGCTAGGGCTTCGTAAATGGGTGTGAGTGATGCGCTCAAATATGGCCTAAAAGCTAGACGTGCAGAGAAGATCTTGGCACTGGGGGGAAAAGCCTTGTTAAATATTAATTAATGATTAACCAACTGGAAGAACTTATGAAAGGTGAAATAGAAATGGGAGGACACTCAAGCTTTCAGAGACATTATAGTTCTGTGATGAGAGATTTTGGACTGGGTCAAGATTAGGTCAACACCAAACTGCTGATTGCACAATGATGGCGCATGCAGGGCATTGCCACACACCTTTACAATTGACTCCAAAAGGAGACTTCTGGTTTTTAATACTTGGGCCCCACGTATAGCTTTCAGAATTCTTTCCACAACACTTCTAGATACACCAAGCATGGCGCCTTTCCTACCTTTGTCGGTGTTCCTAAGTCAGCACTGAAGAGTTTCCATATGCATTTAAACCTAAATGACAGCATGAGGAAAGCATGGAGATTCTCTGCAAACTGTGTTTCCGAATACGGATAGAGTCTCCATTGTTGACCTTTGTATTCTATGTTTACTTTATCTTTCAAGTTCGAGAATTTAAAAGAAGCCCAAATATTGAGTCCTTCAGGTCCATATGATATTTATGTTTCCCTGGTTCTTATTTTAAAAAGCCTGCACAGAAGCTTTAATAGAAGTCTTCCGTTACCACTCCTTCTGAGGATATTAGATTTTAGCAAAGGGGTTTGTTTGTTTGTTTGTTTTGGTCAAGGAATCTCAGCTTCTTGAAAGTGCAGTAGTCCATAGTTTCCAATGTCACATGCTGCCCAGGAGGTGGCACTAACCCTCAGGGCCTCAGTAACTTTCAGTTAAAGCATGCCTTAAATACAGAAGTTCCCATTTGGATAGAATTTACCATTCCTATTTATCAGGCTAAACAATCCAATCCACATAGAATGCCATTTCTAGATATATAATGTATTTCATTTTTCTTGTTTTAGAGAGGATACACAGCAGAACATACGCCTATCAAACAATTTCTGAATGTAAACTTCAGTGACATTGATTACAGTCTTTGAGTTGGACAACCTTCCTCACCTTCCTTTTCCAAATTATTCCTTCTCCTTTAAACTCATTGTCAGTCGGCTGTCATATAGATACCAAAAAACTAAACTCATTGCCATCAAGTCGGTTCCAACTCATTGTGATAGAGATAGGGCAGAGTTGAACTGGCCCTGTGGGTTTCTAAGACTGTAACTCTTTATGGGAGTAGAAAGCCTCATCTTTCTTCTGCAGAGCGGCTGGTAGTTTCAAGGGCTGACCCTGTGGTTAAGCATTCCAACGTGTAACCACTACACCACCAGGGCTCCTACACTCAACATACATGGTCTGAACCAATTGGTTTAAAGTTTGAAGTGTAAAGATTATGGCAGAACAATAGATAGCTTCAGGAGTTTATCCCACATTCCATGACTCTAGAAGCTCTCGATTCCATGAGAACTTAACATTCTGTTCTGTTTTCTCCCTTTTAATCAGGATTTCGCTATAAAATATTTGCTCAAAATGTTCAGTAGTGGTAGTCGGTATCATCCAGTCCCTTTGGTTTCATGGTAACGAAGGCAATTGTTTATGGAAGAAATTAGTCATACATCCCAGTTCTGACTCAGTTGCTCCCATTGAAAAGAGACCAGTTGTACCGAATTACTGATGGTAAGGAACCCAGGTACTAGCAACAATGTAGGAAGTAGAACAGAAGCATGAAATAATGTTATTAGACCAATCACCTGGGATGCCCATGAAACTGTGTCCCTAAACCTCCAAACTAAAGCATCAAATACAATAAGATGTTTGGTTTCACATTAGCAGTCTCAGCAGCTACTTGTGTGTGTGTGCCATTGTTGTGAGTGTATCACACAGCCTTTCCCAATTCAACTTTGTAGAACTGTACAACAGATTGGGAGAAAGCGTGTTAATAAACCGTGAAAACCTACCCTTCATCTGTGTGATTTTTTTCTTCACAGTAAACTGAAACTCAGCACTCCATAAATGAGGTGACATGGACCTCTCACTTTCCCTGGCTTCAATAGGCTAAAAGAAAAACCTAACTCCACACCCAACCAAGGTCAACTGCCACAAAGCAGAGGTCAGACATGCCTCCAACCTTCATCCTTTTTTTTTTAAACCCTATTCTGACACCAACGATGCCTCCCATGACACCCTACATCTCTTCTGGGTCCATAATCCATTGCAATGGTGACAATCAAAATATGATTATGGGGATTTATTAGGGAAGTTAATGAGTTACCACAAGTTAGGATCATAAAGCATTAAGGATACAGTCTTTCGTCCACTTCCGTGCCTCTCCTCAGCCAGCAGCCATCTCTCTCTCTCAGGTCCACAGCCTCTCAGCCATCTGGTCTTTTGGCTTCTGCCTTGTTCTGTAGGCCTGCTCCTCTGTCTCACAGTCTCATGGTCTCTGGTCTCAGTGCCGCAGCTCCTCTACTCTGGTGCCTCTGGTATAAAGTGGCAAGACCTCTGCTGCCTCCACCACTTTAGGCAGGGATATTGAACAGGCTCCAAAGGTGGCTTTTCTTACTTGATCATCATGGGAAATCTCTTTCTTCCTGCTCCTGAGATGGCTCTGTTATACAAAGACCCGATTAATCTCCAGTTCAGATCCTCTACGTGTACTTTGTATGGACCTGGACCAATACAATCATTTGGTGGGAGTTATAGAGAAATGAATAAAAGAGCCAGAAGGAATTAATTTCACTTGAGCACAATAAATTTTAACCTCTCACTTCCCAAAAAACCAAAGCAAACTCAATGCTGTCCAGTCTATGGGGACTCAGAGTGACCACAGGGAACAGAGCAGAACTGCTCTTGTGGGTTTCTGAGACTGTAACTATTTAAAGGCGTAGAAAGCATCGTCTTTCTCTTGAAGAGGGCTGGTGGTTTGTGAACCGCTGATCTCGCTGATCTCGTAGTTAGCAGCCCAACTGGTAACTCTCTATGCCACCAGAGAACAACCCTCTCCCTTACCTCTTCTATAATAATCACAAAGAAACTTTTCATATGTATTTTCAATTTTCTTTTTTACATATGAAACCAAACTCAATGCCATTGAGTCAATGCTCAGTCATAGTGACGACCCTCCTGTGGGTTTTTGAGAGTGTAACTGTTCACAGGAGTAAAAAGCCCAGTCTTTCTCTCAAGAAGCAGCTCAGTTTTGAACTGCCTATTATGATGGTCTCAGCCCGTGTGTAGCCACTACACCACCAGGGCTCCTCTTTTTATATCAGTGAGGTCATCTATGAGTTAACCTTTTCTGATCAATGTATTTCACTCAGTATAATGTCTTCACACATCCATATCTTAGATGGGGCCAAGAACTCATTGCAGAAGTTGAGAGTACACTGTCCTTGATTAGTAATCCACACTACATTTGAGGTCTTTTAACTCTGTAGCAGGGCTTTTGTTGACATATTAACACGTATGTCTGTCTTAAGATTTCTTTTTCTTACTGGCTGAGTTGTATTCCATTGTCTATATGTTCCTTATTTTGTTTATCTGATCATCTTTTGATGGACATTTAACATATTTTCACCATTTGGCTATTGTGACTACTGCTGCAATATTTGAACCTCTGTACTTAAGTCTTTGGGTCTATACAAGGGACTTTGAAAA